CAGCTGCGTATGTAGCAAAGGGTAAAATAAGGGCATTGACCAACCTGACCTTAGAATTCCTTGTTATTCTTCGGTCTTTCCATAGTTTAAAACAATTTAGCTATTGCGGTTAGCGCCAATGCTAATTTACGCTTGATTTCTGGGAAGCAATCGCCATTGTTGATATGAGATATGTCTATCCCACAATACACTATTCAGTAGAGACATGCCTTTTCTTCCTAATATGTTTCTTTCCTTAAATACATTTTCTATTATTTGTTTGTTTTCTTTAATACTCATGTACTTTTTCTGCATTTCCTTCAAGACCCCATTTCTTAAATGTTTCTAATAGTTTTCGCATCATATAATTTATATTGCTAAGTGCTGCTTCTACATACACTTTAAATAGCATTTATGAAATACAGCAGCTCTGTTTTAGCCTTCTACCCACAACAGAAAGAACCATGGAAGAAGCAATGTTAGGTATACGACTGTCAGATAAAAAGAGGAACGACTGGGTAAGATTCAAAACAAAAGTCGAGTACATAACAACAAAAATTGCCAAACCTAAATGGAGCTTCGCGGGCCAGACTGCTAGACAAAAAGACCAACGTTGGAATACTATAATACAACATTGGAGACCTTACGAAAGTAAACAACCAAGAAGAAGACCACAGATGAGATGGGTTGATGACATTAAAGGAATAGCTGGAACAAATTGGAAATATGTTGCTCAGGATAGAGACCGATGGAAGGAGTTTGGAGAGGCCTATGTCCAAACATGGACGATAGAAGACTAAGAATAAGAAGATATGATTCTCGGATGCTTCAGGCTTATTTATGCATTCCTGAAAGAGTTGTCGTAGCTGTTGAATTGATCTTCTTATAATTTTATGGAGAAACATTCTTAAGGCCCAGATCGACAAGCCTGTAAAACCGTTGTTTTATGGTTCATCGGTAAAGATCGTCAGTGTATCATTACAACACCGTGGTATAACATAACAACAAACCTGGCTCATTCATATTTTTACTTGCGACGTCATACAAAACCGCGTTTTTTAATGCATTGTAAATAGCTCTGCATGTCAGCACCAACGAACCTCGAGTAATACTGGCGTTCATCCCCTTTAAGGTGGTATGTCACAATGTTAAAATTTATATACTTTTTAGGTACAGTTATCGTCACTATTTCAAAACCAATCTTCAACTTATGACTATGTACGTAAACTGTAAACTTTCTATTTTAATGATATCTAGTTAAAATTTCCAAAGAAAGCAGTAATTTTTTTATAACTGTACTTAAATGAATCCATGTCATAACTTACGTGGTAACGTGCCTAAAAATTGGTATTGTGTAATAATTTTTGAACTTAGGTACAAAATAACTACTTTAAATGATTAACTATCCAAAAACCTTTATTTTAAGCGAATGTTCGTTATCTATAGTGCCGTAATTTTTAAATTAACTGTACCTAAAGATAAAATTACAATTAAAAGCTGCAAACTAGGGATTTTGTTGATGTCACCGTTATAAGTTGGCATTTTGCTAGTGAGAAATTAGTTCCGCTATCACTTAATAGATGTGAAAATAAGTTCACGTGTCATTTAGTAGAAGGCAGCAGTGATGTATTAAATAGCGACAAATGCGTGTTTGCCGAATTTAAGAAAAATCTGCAAAACATTGAAACCTAGTTTTGTGGTTATGCCAATTGTCTATTTGTTGTGCAGTAACCATGGTAATACGAATCACGTGGTTGTGTTTAGCAAAGCGGCCCCTACCAGTTAATATTTTGGCTTCGTTTGACTGTCAATTATCAACCATGATTGCATAACGTCACAGTGTTTTAAAAATACAAGTATACCAGTAATTACAGTTTCGTTCACGTTTTGGCAAATTTAATTTTTATAGACAAAACAATATAATGTAATCATTCTTTAAATTTTGTCGATTAATTATTTCCGTAAATGAAAAAGACTATTGAAATTTACTTGAGTCATAATAATTAGAAATCAGATGAAAATCTGAAATTTTCTAAGTAAAAAACTTCAACTGTTAACATTCGATATGAAAAAAAGTAAACGTATTTTAGATTTTCAAACAATTGCAAATTTCTTTTTCAGTTTGGAATAAATATTTTTGGGTAGATAAAGAATTCAGAATTGTCGTAAATATTTCCAAATGAATGAACGTTTTGTGTATATGTATTAGCAAAAAAATGTCAAGTAATTAATATGTTTACTTAAAAAAATCCCTAATCAGCACATCCGCTAAGTGCTGGTGTAAGCGGTGGTGTAAGATAATTAAATTTTACGACTTTTCCATCTGAGAATGTATTGATGAGTATCATGTATCATATTAATAATATGTATTAGAATTGCATACATATATTTAGTCGAATTTTTACAACCAGAGCAAGCTGTATTATAAAACCACACTTGTGTAATGTAATACAAAAGTAAATTTTTTTTACTTAAAATTTAATTTTGTATTATTTCGCGAAAGATAACTGCGGGATATGACAGGACTTATATACGGGAAGTTAGTTGTTTTCGCCTATATTAGTGCAAACTTTTTTCCGGCGAATAGTTTTGTTTTTGCCGTGAGGGTCGGCCAAAGGGTATATTCATTATCCACTGTTCGATTTCATTCCGCTTACGTTTCCAATATCCAACAGCTACTTCTCCGACATCTAAATCTGAAGAAACCTTCTTTATTGATTCACCCTTGTCCAACCTCTTAATTGTATTCACTTTTGTTTCCAAAGGTGCAATTACTCTCTTCCGCTTTCCAGTCATATTGCACAGAAAGATTCTTTCTTACACTCACACAAATCAACTTATGAAAAATTAATTATGAAACCGAAACTAATAACTGGAATAAATTCACAAAACAGTACATAAAAGGAAAAATATTACCGTACAGATTCTTAATTTGACGATCTGAACGACACCAAACAAATCGGTAGTTAAATTCACATTGATTAACATAGAAAGGAACAGGAAGTTGTAGACAAAACACCACACAGAAATTTCTGCGCATGAAATCTCTTTCACATCAGCTTGACCTAAAGCATTGATTATAAACCACTACCTAGTGGTAGTGGTTTATAATCAATGCCTAAAGCATACCTTACAAATAATTCTCTTCTTATCAATAATCCAAAATTTTCAATTGATTGCCCATATAACAGCTGCCGATATAACTTCTGACCATCGATCCTTTTTTTATTACTCAGTATTGTGATTCAACAAGTACGACTATAAAGGTAAATAAGGTAAATAAAAGGCAAAATTTTGCCTCAGTTAACTGAGGGGCTCGGATAACCTAGACTCGGATAATCGCGAGTCTACTTAAAATTTAATTTTGTATTATTTCTGCGAAAACGCAGAACGGTAGTGCATTTACGAAAACTGCTATTGTTTCCCGGGAACTCTTACAAGTAAATAATACAATGAGTTTTGTGAAGTGGAGAGTACGGTACTTAAAAGTATATTCGAAGAAGCGCAAATTTAAATTACCTCCAATCGAGTTCAAAAATTATTCAGAGATTGCAGTCTAGGTTTGTTCTCGACTTAAAATTAACTTTGTCTCTCAAAGTTAATTTTAAGTCGAGTTTCTTAGTAATATATATATATATATATATATATATATATATATATATATATATATATATATATATATATATATATATATATATATATATATATATATATATAATAGTAATATTTCTGCTCTTTATAATATGATTGATAGTCAACTTCGTTCACTTGAGACCTTAGACAAAACTGCTGACAAGTTAGCGGCGATATTGTATCCTCTTATTAAGTCATGTCTGCCAGAAAATATGATTCGACTATGGCATCTTATGTTTTCGTGTCCATGGAAAATATTGGAAAAACTGCAGAAGTTACAACTTTAAAAACACACTTTAGAGTGGGTTAATGACATTTTTACAGAGTGAAATTTAAAATGAAAAAAAAAATTGATTTAGCAACGGAAGGTTTTTGTTTACTGGCTGAAAATGAATATAAATTCAATAGTTTTATTGCCAAGATAAATGTAAAATTACAAAGAACTGATCAGTCCTTAGCGTCCGCTGATGGGTTAATAAATTATGAGGTTTACAGGTGTATATTTTTATTATAAGTAATTTTTTGTACTTGAAATAAGTTTAGTTTTTTACAAAACTAATATGCACAATTTAAAATATTTACAAAACTAAAAAAACAACACAAAAAAAAAAACAAAACAACAATTTAACTTCAAAGGTAAATGAACCTCAACGCAACACGATACAAAAATTAAAAAATTATATGGAATGATGAAATCCAAAAATTAGGATTTGTGAAACTTTAAAAATAATACGATAGCTAATTTCAACTTACATTGCAGAAGACTGCCGACCGTGAGCGAACTATACCGATTCTCCCGATCGTATATTATATTTTAAGTTTCACTACTTGGCCTCATTGGCAACACTGTCGCTGTTCAGATAATTAAATTTCGAGAAAATCAAAATATTAAAATATCATGCACGTGCTGCCATCTATTTAAAAAATTGTTAAACGTTAGTTTATTTGAACACCGCTCATTTTAACTGCGGCGTGAACATACCCCCTTAAAAGAGAGTGTTCTCTCAAATGATGTATTTTATTACAATCCTGTTCACTATATAAATAGGATCCTACTTCCGCGAGATAATTATGAATGAAATAACTAAGCATACCATAACATTAAAATTAGACTTCCTAATTAGCCCATTATAAGCAACAGCTTGTATCGGCATCTTCAAAAGAACTCGCTTGTTGTGTTTACAACTTGAATGTTGGTGTTGGGTAAACAGTCCCGTGTTTGTTTTGTTTTTCAAAGCAGTACTTCTGTTTGTATTTCGCCAACAGAAATTTATAGGGGTATGCGATTTAAATATATAATAAAGTTTTATTCTGGAGTCAAATAAACGGTCTGTACTAAATGAAAATCATTACTTCGTGTAATGGTTTTGAATTAATTTTTCCCTTCATTATTTTTCTGCTTCATTTACCAAAAATTTCATTAGAGTTATCTGCAAACTATGATTAAGTTCATTATTCAGAGTTATTAGTACTATATTTAGTAAAGTTAAAACAAACAATGTGAACTGCTTGTGCTGGACATGGAAATAAGAAGCGAAACGAAACTAAAGTATTAGAGAAAGCCAGAAAAATTGGTGATTGCGAAAAGATGAGTAAGAAGGTGAAGTTAATATCACTGGTTTGAATCTACAGGCAAGACTATGGTAAATATTGGTTTTATTTGTGAAGATATTTTTCAAAATCATCCATAACCGTATTTTCAAAAGCTGCAAAATGATATTAACACTAATTTTTGGAGACTATTTGCTCTATATGTACTTTGCAATGATAAATTTGATGTAAGAAAAAGGTAAAAAGGTAAGAAATAAATATCTTTTATTATTGAAAATAAAACAAAACAGGATTTAAACTATATGGCCTGCAAATAAATTGAAGAGTACGATGTTTGAGATCTTAAAGTCAATACAAAGAAAACCGAATAATTATGCATTGTTGTGCAACAAAAAGTTTCGTATTAGGTGAAGAAATACGGCAAGTAGAACAGCCATTACAATGGTAAACACTATTTTGAGGAATCCTTCTCTTAGCAAAGAAAATAAAAAGAAGATATATGAGACTATAGTGAAAAGTCTATACTCTATACAGCTCTGAGGTACGGCTACTGAACCAAAGAAAATTAGCAGCCCTGAGAGCAACGAAAATGAGTTTTTTAGCATAGCGGCAAGAAGATCTAGACGAAAAAGGATTAACAATAGACGCATTAGAACAATAATTGGAATCAAACGACCAATCACAGATAACTATCAACAAAACCACTTATCTGGAATGGGCATATATATACACACAAAATAAATCAACAACGAATACAAAGTGAGAAGGAACAGACAATGAGGAGAGTGAAAGAAACATATGAGCTATAGAACGAGCGGATGAAGACTAATGTACAGGGCATTAGCAAAAGCTTTCAAATGATATCTGCTTTTAGTCTTTTTTTTATTTAAAAATATTCGAGTCATTCTTACCTGGTATAAAGGTAGAAGTAGATCGAAAACAGAAATCGAAAATATCGGCAAAATGTGTCCCCCTATAATCAAAAATCGACGTTGTGCCAGATATAACTCTTCTTCTGTAATAAATGTGAATAGGCGTTCTCCTTTCGCTCTTTTAACTTCATGCACCTATTACATTACTTCACCATGACCGATTTTTTCGTTAAATTCACCCATAACTAGCGTTACTTCGTTAGCTTTTAACTTACTTATGACTTTCTTTAAATCTTCATGAAAATATTCTATTAAGTATGTAACAGTAAAACACTGAAAACTTTGTTTTCAAACTTCCACAAAATTTATTTTAACTTCTTATCACTACAGCTGTTTCGGCTGATTGCCTTTCTCAAGTGATCTATTTTTGGCATGCGTTTACACTTTATAGCCTCTAATTAAATAGGTTGAGGAGGGGAGAACTGTTTGTCTGAAGTTGATCATTCAGAATTATATCTGTGTTTTTTAATTTGCTAATTTTCATAGATTCTAAAAAGGATAGCTTAAGGCCTTTATTTTAAATGTGAAGAATTTTAAATTCGTCAGAAGGTGAAGTGCGTATGTCGAATCTGTTTTTCTATTATTGGAAGCCCTTTTATGTTCTGCTATTCGTTTGTTAAAGTTTCTACCAGTTTGACCGATGTAAGTTTTTGGGGTAGTAGCCACATTTAAGTTTGTACACACCACTGTGTAAGTGTTTTTTATTTTGGCTCTTGTTGTTCGGACAACTATTTGTTCGGAAAGCTGGTGTTATTCCTTTCTTTTTTATGTGTTTGGCTAATTTTGTTGATATTTTGCCTGTATATGTAATCGAGCAGGAGGTACTGGGTTTTTTCTCTGGTGGTGGAAATACTAATTTCAGGGCTTCCTTGTGTAGTTTTTGATTTAACATTTTATTAATTGTTTGTTCGTTGTATCCGTTGTTTACTGCTTGATGATATTTAATTCTGTCTCAAAGTTGTATTTTGACATCGGAATTTCTATTAATCTATGTAACATACTATGATAGGCTGCCAGTTTATGTTGTGTTGGATGAAATGATGAATTGTGTATAGTCGTGTCAGTATGGGTAGGTTTATGAAATATGGAGAAGTCATGTTTGTTTTTAAGTCTGATAATTTTTAAATCTAAAAAATTATGGATTGATTTTGTTCGGTTTCTCTTGAAAATTCAATAATTAATATACGATAAAAATTGGTCCAGTTGTCTGTTAGTTCCTGTGAAACATACCAGTACGTCGTCTACGTATCTCCACATATGCATATATATTTGATTATTAAATTCAAAGTAGTCCTGGTTTATGCAAACTTCAAGAAGATGTAAAATTTCAGATGTAATTATTTATTTTTTTTTTATATCAAATGAAATTAATCTGGAATTGTAAGGTAATTGAATATGTTGTATTTTATTAAGTAGTTCTATTGTTTATTTTTTATGGTAAATTTAGGTGAAAATTTAGTGTGTTCTAACAGTTTTTTTGAAAGCTTATATGACGGAGCTGTATAAAAAGAAACTACAGGTCTTACTGGGTGATACAGTTTGTGTAGTTTAATGAAAATAATTTAGGAGATTGTGGGTTCATCATATTGAGGTATTTCTGTTCTATTGGATTTACTATTGATTTTGAATTTTCTAACGCCAGCTTAATTTGTTTTTGATAATTTTTTGTCGGATCTTCGTGTAATGTTTCAATAATTTGATTATTTAAGAATTCGTCTTCTTCTTCAATTTCCTCTCGTATCGGAGATTGGAAATCATTCTGGCAATTATAATTTTGTTGGTTATACGCCTGAATAGTTCAATTGAACTGCATCCAAACCATTCACGGAGATTGCGTAGCCACGAGATTTTACGTTTTCCTACGCTTCTTCTACCTTTAATTTTACCATGGATTATATTCCTTAGTATTTCGTACTTTTTACCTCTCATGATGTGCCCCAAGTATTCCAATTTCCTGATTTTTATGGAATTTAAAACTTCGCATTGTTTTCCTAATTTATCGAGAACTTATTCGTTTGTTTTGCGATCCATCCATGATATTTTCAAAATACGTCGGTAACACATTTCAAATGTTTCTAGGTTTTTAATGTTGGATTTTTTAAGTGTCCAAGCTTCAACTCAATACAAAAGGGTAGAGAAAATATAACATCGAAGCATTCTTATCCGGAGCGATATATTGATATCGCGATTACAAAAACGTTTTCTCATTCAATTAAAAGTTGAGCGTGCAATTTCAATGCGGCATCTTATTTCTTTTGTCTCATCGGTATCTTCTGTGATCCACGCTCCAAGGTATTTGTACGAAGATATTTGTTCAATTTCTGTATTATCTAGTACTAGCTTAACTTTGATGTTTTGTGCATTTGTAAATACCATGAACTTGGTTTTCTTCAAATTTATTTTTAGTCCATAATCGTTGCAATATACATTTAGTTGTTCAGCAAGGTGTTGCAGTTCTTCTCGTGTTCCTGCCAGAAGGACGGTGTCGTCAGCATATCTTATGTTATTAAGTGGCTCACCGTTTATTATAAGGCCCTCACTGATCTCGGCAAGCGCTTTGAGATGGTTTCACTGTATAAATTGAATAACAAGGGTGATAAAATACACCCTTGGCGGACCCCACGGCGAATCTGGATATCCTCGGTCAGTTCGTTTTCAACTTTCACTTTTGCTGTTTGGTTCCAATAGAGGTTACAGATGATTCTAATGTCTCTACTGTCTATGTTTTTATTCAATAAAATTTCTTTAAGCCGATTATGTTGCACTCTGTCAAATGCCTTCTCAAAATCAAAGAAACAGACATATACTTCCTGATTAATATCTAAGCATCTCTACGAAAGAACACTTACTGCAAACAGTGCATCTTGTGTTCCCAGTCCTTTCCTAAATCCCATTTGTGTGTTACTTATGCCTTGTATTTATGTACTTAAGAATTAAGAAATTTATTTACTTAAGAATTATATTGTTTTCTTATTATATTCTATTTTATCTATAGCAATAGTAGTGTTACCTTTGCTCTTGTAAACGTTTTCTATTGATTTATTTTTAATTAAAATGGCTCATGTCATGTCAATTCTCATCACTTGAGAAAGGCAATCAGCCGAAACACCTGTAGTGATAAAAGGTTAAAATAAATTTTGTGAAAGTTTGAAAACAAAATTTTCAGTGTTTTATTGTTACATAAAATGAATTTTCCTCAAGTTACGGTCGAATTCATCAATTATTCAAGATTATATTACTTCATCTTATTTGTTAGATTAATTAGTGTCATAAATATTAATAAAAAATTCATTTAATGTTATAAAAAGAAACATATTGAATGTATTATTGTTTATACCTGCTTAAATTTCTGGTACATCAGTTTTAAACTACTTTCCCGGTTACCAAATTGTTTAACGCATTTTTTTTTTCAAATAAATGTCAGTATATACTTTTCCCAATTTATATTACTCATCTAATTGTCCAATTAAAAATTTCAAACAAAAATGTATCAAACAACCTGTTCAAGTATGCAATTATTCCGTTTGCAATTTACTACACCGAATTGATAGTTTCGTCTGTTATGTTGTGATAGTTTTTGGCTTTTTTCCAACGTACTATCACCCCCCAGTAAAAATTTGTTCAAAACAAAACGGTAATATAAGAATTTTTCTGTCAGTAGTAATTATTATTCAAGATTGATATACTCATTTCAAAAATCGATAAAAATTGTTTTTCGTCTTCAAAAATAATGATCTGTCAAAATGATTCTTCTAATAGGTGCTAACACGTGCTTATTTGACATTTACCTGTGTGGAATACGGTTGACAGCTCAATCTGATCCCGTCCTGGCTCAGCTTTTCCCGCAACAACACTTTCAACTGCACTCTCGGTATCTTCACCAACTCAGCCTTTCCTTCTTCGTACTCGTCCAGATATTTAGCCACCTCCTGTCCACTTTCGGCCGAAGAACTGGCCCCAGGACTCGCGTTAATCCTCTGAGTTTCTTTCTCAGATCGTCCGGAAGATGTTCGGGAAGACCTAGCACTCACATTGTCACAAAAACACTCATCGTGAACCGCGACACTTTCCTCCAGGGTAAAATACACCGATGCGGCACCTTCTTCGCGAAGAGTTCTTACTGATTGCAACAACCTGCTGCGGTGCACTTGATTGAACACTCCGATTGCATCGAGATCGGGATCACCGACCTGTTTGCATATTTCTAGATCGTCATAGCCGTTGTCTATGAAACTTTCGGCGTATTGGCCAAGATGAAGAGACCTCAGCCATTCAGCAACGATGTTGCCTGACATCGTCTTCGGCGTGTACATCCGTACTTGCCGCGATACTGACGCGGTCTGATCTGCCGATACAACGCGAGTTAAAGGTGTGCGTTTCTTGTGATGTTGAAAACGCCGGTATTTGGCCCTATCACGCGACGTTGCCAGATTTCGCGCGCATCCCAAAACAACACCATGTCATACAGGAGAAATACTCTTTTCATTTAATAATTGATATTAAATAATTTTACTTAATATATATGTATATAATATAATCTTATTTATTTCAGAGATGAGACACTTATTCCTTGACTCGTACCAGTAAAAAGGTGTAAGAGAAATCATTATCCACGTTAAATCCCATAAAAATGTTCATTATACTAATTTTCCTACAAAGCACGTGGTGGTCGTGTGTATTAAGGTATAAAAAAATGCTTATTAAAAGCTTAAAATTTTTATTTTAAAGAAGATCTTTTCGGAATTGACTCATTCCATCATCAGTTTAATAAAAAGTTGTCAAAAAAACATTGTATGGCCACATGAAAACATAGGAAGGAACTCCGTCCGTTAAAAAACTATCCTCATGGTGTTTATGAAGGTAAATGCAATAGACTGTTAATTTGTAGATTACTAAAAACTGAAAATGGGGGCATCTTACATGACCCCCTGTCGTTGGTAAGGTTTTATTGACTTACATTACCTCTGATCTGTGCTGGAGTCTAGGTCTAGGGCATGACACTATAAGAAAAAGAAGAAGTTTTTACTTTGTAAGTGATTCTTTGAAATCTTCTTATACTTTTAAAACACTCTCTTTATATAATTCCATAGACATTCCAAACCTTCATTGAACTTCTTTTATCATACGTCGGTCGATAGTTTATATTTATATGATTTATATATAAGAGCTCAGTGTTTTTATTAATTTAAATTAGATTACAAAATCTAACATACATTCAAAGAAATATCTATGTACCGATTAGCGAAGCACATATCCCATAATTCGCTAATCTAAAGGGTCTTGCAGATATATAACTTGCCGAGGACATGAAAGAATTTAAAGAACTTCAGAATTTGGAGAAAATGGCCTAGAATCGCCAATTTTGGGGGTAGAATTTAAGGGAGGACAAGACTATAATGCTGTCAATAAAATAAGGGAAGCAGTTATTAATAATAAGTATTGGAAATAGATCTAAAAAGTCAACAACATAGTAAATACCTATTGAATATTAAAACCAGTATCTCTCTCTTCAATCCTGACCTCCCGGAGGGAGTATAGTGAAAGGAGAATCTCGTGTATTGTCCACCTCTAAAGATCCCTGTCTCTGGTCAATTCTTTTAACTCATGCATAGGTCTTTTGCATAAGCTTATGATTTGATCGATCCATCTTGTTGAGGATCTTCCTTGTAATCTTCGGTTTTCTACCTTAACTTGGATAAGTTTTTCCATATTTTTTGTGCCTGCTCTCATAACATGTACTAAGTATTTTCATTGTTGGAAATGCTGGATAGCCGTTTACTGACTTATAGCGGTTGAGTTTATCAAAAGTATAAGCTGAATATAGCTGCCAATGTCAACCATGAAAAAAAAAATATTGTTACGAACACGTGGCTGTGGCCATAAAATAATGTTACGAACATGTGGCCCGCCTAACAGTTACATCTCGAAGCATCTCAGGCATCGAGAATCATCGATAGATCTTTCGACCGCAAGAGAACAATCCGTCAGGTATTTGACTGAATTAGAATTAGAGGTGGGAATGTTCTAGAATATAGTAACTTGGGTATATATATATATGTAACGGTGTTAGAAGTAAGTTTAGTTGATAAGATAGTATCGAACTGTGAAGTTATAAATAAATATATTGATATAAATTCGAACCGCTCGTTTTATTTAAAAACGGTACAATATTTCCTTTTGGCACTGTTGAGATGTTTTTATATTGCGTATGTTATATGCTTTAAATATAAAGGAAGGGAGCTTTTACAAAGTACATTTTGATTATACTATTTTATGAATTCTGCAATTTTTAATTTATGTGAAACAATAACGAGTAAATATTTGTCTCATTCGAGATTAATTGCAAATATCTGTTGCAATCTGGCAACTGCTGATTTGACGAATGCCAAATCTATCCAATTTATCAAAGGGCAATTGCCAAAAAAAATTTCTAATAACTGACTGCAATTAATCTCCAAACAAACTAATATTTACTCACTTCTTTTTATATAATTCAAAAATTACAGAATTCATAACATAATATAAACAAAATGTACTTTTCTAAAGCTTTATCTTTTTATATTTGAAGCATACAGCATATATATTATAAAAACATGCCAACACTGCTAAAACGAAATTTTTTGTTCCATGTTTGACATTTGCAGCCATAATCAGCTTGTACTTTCGGTAAACTCAACCCTTTTAGCTTATTTAAAATTAAAATATTTGTCCTGTGGTCGTATAATAGTATAACCAAGAAATAAATACACCACCTGATAAATTTGCAATGAAATTATTGGTAATTTATTTAAAATATTTATTAGTTAGCTTATAACAGACGACTTTGCAACCCTCTTAGGCTAACTTTTTAAAAACCAAACAGCTATTTCGTTATTTCGTAATTTAAATCAGCACTATCCTGAAATAATATAAATGGGAACGGAGTAAAGTTAATAAAAGATCAACCAAAGATGACAGAAAAGGGAGTAAATAAAAAAGTCTAAAGATTGAAAAGTTGAGAAGAAAAGAGTTGTAAGAAGAACCCGCCACCTTATTGTGAAATAACGTCATCTGTACTTCATGATTGTTGTTATAGTACTGACTAGTCAAATGCCTCTCAAACTAGATAAATAATAGTTAGCAGCGATTGAGTGACAGATTGACATAAATAAATCAAGTTGACAATACAAAATATTCTCAAAAGGTAGACCGAAGAATTTGTAATATGATATTCTTGACAGCCCAGCGTTAAACCATTTTTAACCTGAGTAGCTGTCCCATTTATAAATTAGTAGCTGTAGAATGATATCAATTACTTCTTCAATATTCATAGCATTGGGCATCCACGATATTCCACCATCCGGCTCGTGTCTCAGCTGGGCCACAAATCTTTCCATTGCTTCGTTCTTTCTTGTCAATAAACTCTTTAAAATACCTGGACTGTACCTAGCCTTCCTACTACTTAAGGATATCCACTGGATTGTTCTTCTTAACATGCCTCATTCCTAAGGATATTGGCAATCATCTTGGCCCATTTGACTCTATCTGCAGCCGTTTTGAAAAGTTCTATTGACGTTTTTCTACTCCATTGTCTCAGATTCATTAATCAGGATGTGCGTCTTCTCCCTGGTTCTCTTGTGCCTTCCAACTTCCCTTGCATGACCAGCTGCATCATCAAGATTCGTATTTATTGTTTCTTAGTATGTGACGAAAGTAGTTTATTTTTCTTTTCTTTATTTCTTTATACTGTTGAGTATTTCTTTATCTTCACATTCTTCGATAACACCACATTTCAAAGTTAATGTCCAGGCCAGGTAACTGTTCAGGCCTCAACTCCATACAACAGGACAGAGAACACTTAGCATCTCAATACTGTAGTTCTAATTTCAATGTTGAGTTTTCCATTGGATAGTATTGCTTTCATTTTATTTATTTTATTAAAAGCACTTCTAGCTATCTCAATACGCCGTTTTATTTCCGTACTTTTGGATTATGTACTAACTGGATTGTTAGCAGGTATAAAAAAATTGGAAAATGGTGGATAATGATGTTCCCAGCTCGATTTTTAGATTGATTTTTCCAGCTGTTTATTTTTCTCTTGTATTATTAGTAAATATAAAAATAATAGCCATATTTTTTTTCAATCCAACAAGTTTCCAGCTCGTTTTTAATGTTTTTTTAAAACCCTATGTTTTTCTTTCATATTCTTCTCAATAACAACTTCTCAACTTCTTGAAGGATTTTTCTCCATTCAGAGCTGTTTCGCACTTTTCTTTTCAACTTTTTTATTTTTAAGGCTATTATATCATTTTCTATTTGTTTCTTAAAAATGTCTGGATACCTCGGAATGACACTTGATCAGAAGCTCACTTGGAAAGGAACTTCTCTTGTATAAGTACATTATAAAGCCTATATGGACATATGGAGTGCAACTATAGGGCTGTGCAAAGCCTTCTAATACCAAAATCATTCAGAGAATCCAATCCAATATACTCAGAATGATTTTCAACGCGATGTGGTATGTTAGTAACAAAATACTGCATGATGACTCTGATATACCGTTCGTTGAAGACGAAATCAGCAGACTAAAAAGAAATTATTTAGAACATCTGCTAGCCCACCCCAACGAGGAAGCAAGACAACTACACCTCCAACCAGAAGTCAGACGAAGATTGAAGAGACAGTGGCCAACAGACTTTATTCACTAATTTCAATTTTAATTTTATCTTTCATTTCAATTTTAGTTTCAAATTATAATCCTGCATTAATTTGTTAGAGTTAGTATTGGAAGTGTTATCAGTGGATAATTTATTCTGTCATGTATTTGCAATACTCACATTTACTAATAGTTTGTAATAGCGTATTGTAAATTTGCAAATTTAATAAAAAAAAAACAAAAATTGTTAGAATATTTATAAAAAAAATTATAAAAAATCATTGTTTAAGGACAATATATTTTCATCTTACGTTCTGATTCGTATGGACTCATTAGTACTAAATCAAATTGATATATTCTTTTATGAGATGAGATATTTTCTATATTTACTACTTTTTTTACTGGTTTTAATGTTTTTAACCCGATAGTTTTGTTATATATTTTTGTCAATCAATATTATGTAATCTATACCTAATTATTGCGAATATTGTGGTAGTTTTCATCAATGAACTATTGTAATAATAATCATGATCTAACATTAATATTTATATTTATAATTTTATATTCAGTCATTATCAAATTTACCAGAATCACTTTTATTAACCTTAAACAAAAAGCAGAATCCTTATATTTCGGACCGTTTTCAACGCTGGCAACATC